CTTGTTATGGCTCTCACTTCTTTAGGGTATATACCTAGTAATGGGATGGCTGGGTCAAATGGTATTTGTATTTCCAACTTTTGAAGGAATCGCCTCATGTATGATATTCTTGATGTCACCCCACAACTCGTCTGATCTTCAGTCGTTGGTGTTCAATGTGTCAAATCTATTTTTCAGATGCTCTCTAAATTCAGGAGGGATATAACCCAAGTCATATTTTGGCTCTTGTGGATTTGTTATAAGTGTCTTCAGCTTCAATTTGAACTTGCGTATGAGCAATTAAAGTCTGTTCCACAGTCAGCTCTTGGCTTTGTTTTGATTGATAATATTGAGTTTTCCATCACCTCTTTCCCTAGATGTGGTTGATATGATTCCTGTGTATTTCATTTGGTAAAGTCCACATGTATAGCTGCCACTTTAATTGTTGAAAAAAGGTATTTGCAACTAATAAGTCAATGGTCTTGCAAAATTCTATCATGCAATCTCCAGTGTCATTTCTATCACCAAGGCCATATTTTTCAACTACCAATGATTCTTGTTTCCAACTTTCACATTTCTATCAGCAGTAATAATCAATACATTGTGATTGCATGTTTGGTCAATTTCAGACTGCTGAAGTTGGTAAAAATCTTTGATTTCTTCATCTTTGACTTTAGCGGTTGGTGTGCTATTAGGTATGAACATATTTAATTATGTTAATTATTATCCTCTTGATGAATTGACCCATTTATCATTAAGAAATATCCCTCTTTATCCTGATAATAGATCTTGTTCCCAAGTTACTTTTTCTCAAATATAACAACTCTAGCTTTTTTATGATTAATGTTTACATTGTATATATTTTTATATCCTTTTATTTTTAACTTAAGGAACCCTGGTGGTGCAATGGTTAACCATTCAGCTGCTACCCTAAAGAAAGGTCAGCAATTGGAACTTACTAGCAAGCTCCATGGGAGAAAAGACCTGGAATCTTCTAAAGATTCCAAAAACAAAACCTCACTGCCTTTGAGTTGATTCTGACTTACTTACAGTAACCCCCATTGGATTTCCAAGGCTGTAAATCTTTACAGAAGCAAACTGCTTCATCTTTCTTCCACAGAGCAGCTGGTGGTTCAAACCATCCCTCTTTTGGTTAGCAGCCAAATGCCTCAACCACTATACTACCAGAGCTCCTTTTCTTATAAAGATTACAGCCTAGGAAACCTTATGGGAAAGTTCTACACTGTCATATAGGGTTACTATGAGTCTGTATCAACTCAACCACACAGCAACTTTTAACTTATCTGTGTCTTGTTATTTAGGAGCTCTGGTGGCACTGTGATAGCATTGGGCTGCTACCCAAAAAGTCAGCAGTTCAAACCCACCAGCTGTTTCATGGAAGAAAGATGAGGCAGTCTGCTTCTGTAAATATTTACAGCCTTGGAAATGAGGCAGCTCCACTCTGTCCTATGGGATTGCTATGAGTCAGAATTGACTCAATGGCACTGGGTTTGGATTTATATTTAAAGTGAGTTTCCTGCAGATAGCATATAGTTGAGTGTCATCTTTTAATCCAGTCTGACAAAATTGTCTATAAAGCCACCATTTCATTATTTGTCCTGTGTGCACTTTGTTCCTTTTGTCCAGACTTTTTGGATTAATTGAAGATGTTTTGTTTTGTTTGGTTGTATATGTGTGAGTGTGTGTGTGTATGTATGTGTTTGGTTTATTAGTTTCTTTTTGGTATCACATTTTATCTGTACCACTGTCATATTCGCTCTCCCTCTTTGTTATGTTAGTGTTGGCTTTAGAAACCAAAAACCAAACTCACAGCTGTCGAATGAGATCTGACTCATAGCAACCCCACCTTGGGTTTCTGAGGCGGTATCACTATGGAAGTAGATTGCCCAATATTCCTTCCAAGGAGTGGCTGGTGGATTTGAACTGCCAGCCTTCTGGTTAACAGTCAAATGGCTTAGGCACTACGCCACCAGAGCTCCTAGTGTTCGCTTTAGGGTTTATAATATGCATCTTTAACTTATCACAGTTCACTTTCAAATAATATTATAGCACTTCACACATAATATAAGAGTCTTTGTTGTTACTCTCCGTCACATCAGTTCTGACTCATAGTGACCCTATGCACAACAGAACAAAACACTGCCTGGTCCCACGTCATTCTCATCATCATTGCTATGCTTGAGCCCATTATTGCAGCCACTGTGTCAGTCCATCTCATTGAGGGTCTTCCCCTTTTTCACTGACCCTCTACTTTACCAAACATGATATCCTTCTCCAGGGACTGGTCCCTTCTGACAACATAATCAGAGTTTACAAGATATGAAGTCTGGCTATTTTCACCTCTAAGGAGCATTCTGGCTGCACTTCTTCCAAGTTAGATTTGTTCATTCTTCTGGCAATCCATGGTATTTTCAATATTCTTTGCCAATACCACAACTCAAATCCATCAATTATCCTGCAATATTGCTTATTCATTGTCCAGGTCTCACTTGCATATGAGGCCACTGAAAATACTATGGCTTGGGTCAGGTGCAACTTAGTCTTCAAAATGACATCTTTTCTCTTGAACACTTTAAAGAGGTCTTTTGCAGCAGATTTGCCCACTGGAATATATCATTTGATTTCTTGACTGCTGCTTCCATGGGCATTGATTGTAGATCAAGAGAAAAGAAAAGAAATCCTTGACAACTTCCATCTTTTCTCCATTTATCATAGTGTTGCTTATTGGTCCAGTTGTGAGGATTTTTGTTTTCTTTATGTTGAAGTGTAATCCATACTGAAGGTTGTAGTCTTTGATGTTCATCAGTAAATGCTTCAAGTCCTCTTCATTTTCAACCAGCAAGGTTGCGTCATCTGCATATCACAGGTTGTTAATCCCTCTTCCTCCAATTCTGATGCCATGCTCGTCTTCATATAGTCCAGCTTTTCAGATTATTTGCTCAGCATACAGATTGAATAATTATGGTGAAAAGATACAGCCCTGACACACACCTTTCCTCTTTTTAAACCATACAGTACCCCTTTGTTCTGTTGGAATGACTGTCTTTTGATCTATGTACAGGTTCTTCATGAGCACAATTAAGTGTTCTGGAACTTGGTATATAATCAGTTTCATTTCCTTCAGTTTGTTTTCAATGTTTAATGAATCCTTTTATTTTCCCCACTTTTTTCCATATAATTTTAGTTTTCAAATGATTCTAACATTTATCTGATTCTAAAGTCAAAATTATAATAAGAAGAAATACTCAAAGGAATTTTACTTTCATCCTTTTTATCTTTTGTTTTTTCCTTTGTCAATACTTTTTTTTTTAAATTGTGATTTGGGTGAAAGTTTACAGAGCAAATTCACTTTCCATACAGCAGTTCACATACACTTTGTCTCATGACATTGACTACAATTTTCCCTGATGCAGCAGCTCCCCTCCCACTTCCTCCCGATAGTTACCTCTTCCCTGTGTCCATCCCTCCATGCACTCCTGCCCCCTGAGCTGTCTCCCTGCGTCATCCCTTTTATCTTAAACCATTCCCTTCCTTTGCTTATAATCAGTTACTTTGCAATTTAACCTTCCAGTCCTTTTTGTAACAGAAGCTAATACACGTATACATACATATCTTATTTGCATTTTGTTTATTTCTTACACAGATAGCATGCTGTATATGTTTCCTACAAATTTCTTTTTTTACTTAATAATATATCTTAGAAAATACTCAATATGTAGACATTCCTCTTCCCCCACTCCCCCAACTTCCTCTTCTTATCTACCGTTCCATAGTACTCCATTGTGTGGTTGTGTCATTGTTAAGCCAGGCTCCAGGTTGTTTGGAGGTTTTCCTTCCGTAGAGAGTCATTCCCAGCCCCCTGCCTATCTCCACCTTTACTGGTCCGAAGTCTTATGGTGAGAAAACTATGGGAGAGGGTGCCAATTGTCCTCCTGGGGTCAAAGGCCAGAGATGGGGAACCTATAATCTTTGCCACAAAGTGCCTGACAGCAGACTAACACCTGGAGACAGGGTCTTCTCAGGAGGTGACATTTTTCTTGTTGAAACCTCAATTGTTTTTCTGTCAATAACAGATCTGGAAACATTTGCCACATCTGAAGGCAGTAGTGATATATCAAGAACCTCTTCCAAAGAAGATGGCCAATGTGTACACGGTATAGGTACAGGGGCCTTGGGCATCAGGTGGGACCTGTCTAAGCCCACCCAGCTGATCTAGAATGCCCATTCTCCCCACCGGGCCACAGATGGAGGAATGCATGGAGCTGGGGAATGACGTTTCAGAGGAGGCCCTGGACAACATCATCAGTACCCAGCAACCCAACCAGTGTTGTGCACTAGTCTACACATCGGGCACTACTGGGAACCCCAAGGGTGTGATGCTGAGTCAGGACAACGTAGGGCAGATGTCCCCAATGGATGGGGTTGGGCTGCTGTGGGTGGGTCTGGGGCAATGGCCCTGCCCTGACAGCCCCTGGGGAGGGCTCCTCTGTCCCTCAGCTCAAAGGGCTGGGATCAAGAGGACAGTCTGCCATCTGTGGTCCAGACTGAGCCCAGCAAAGGGGAGGTGGGGGCAGGAGAGTCCTGTCTCCAGGGTTTTCCAGGGCCTGTGGAGATGCCTGGGAGAGTGCCTATTTGGGAGGGGGTCCATGAAGTAGTCCCAAACCTGCAGGGTGGCTGCAGATGTAATAAGCACTGCCATGGCTAGCTTGTGGAGATTTCTGGAGCACACCTGACTGTTCTCTAGATCACATGGACAGCACGATACAGCAGCCAGGCTGGTGAAATCCAGCCAGCAGAAATCCAGCAGGAGGTAGTGGTCAGCTACCTGCCCCTCAGCCATATTGCTGCCCAGATCTATGACCTGTGGACGGGCATCCAGTGGGGGGCCCAGGTCTGCTTTGCTGAGCCTGATGCCCTGAAGGTTAGTCTGTTTCTCTGCCCATGTGGGTGTCTGAGTGAGTGTGCAAGGGCATACCCAAGTGTGGACTCATGTTTGTGGGCTTTGTGTGTGTATTCATGGGTATGTTATTCCCTGTAGGAGCTCTGGTGGTGAAGTGCCTAAGGCATTTGACTGCTAACTAGAAGGCTGGTGGTTCAAACCCACCAGCCACTCCTCAGAAGGAAGACTGGGCAATCTACTGTAGAGATACCCCCTTGGAGGGGTTGCTATGAGTCAAAACTGACTCGAGGGCAGTGAGGGTTTTTGTTTGTTTGTTTGTTTGTTTTTATTCCCTGTACACTTATCAGTCAGAATTCCTTTCAGCAGCAATTAGCACAGCCTGACTCAAATGACCAAGAAGGGAAACTGATCACATGAAGTAAAGGAAAGTCCAGTCAGAGTGATTCAGTGGTTCCAGAATAGCCATCAAGCATGGGCCATCCTCAGAGGATGGTCACAAGATGTTCACAAGATAGCCATAGACCCTCCCTGCACCCCAGCCTCCTACAACTACATCTATTTTCCCAAAAGCCCCTTAGCAGACTCCCTTGCATCTCATTGGCCCAAGAGGTGTCACATGCCTGTTCTGAAACCAGTCACTGCTTTGGGGAATGGAGAGTCCCCACCCCCAGGGCCGGGAAGGGTCTGAGGTCCTTTTGAAGCAACCGACCATCCTGATACCTGAATGATAGCAAAGAAGGATAAAGGGATGGCTGATGAGTGGGCAGCCAACTGTATGTGCCAGAAGTTGGGTGAAGGTGTGTGGATGCACCTGTATGAGCATACATGTGTATAAGCATTCCTGTGAGGTGTGTGTGTCTGACTGGTAAGAGGGGTCTGCTGGACCCTGTCTGGCCCTGAGCTAACAGGGCCTGCCCTCTTACTGGTGTGAACAGGGTAGCCTGCTAAACACACTACGGGAGGTGGAGCCCACATCCCACATGGGAGTCCCACGGGTGTGGGAGAAGATCATGGAGCGAATCCAGGAGGTAGCTGCTCAGTCTGGCTTCATTCGGCGCAAGATGCTGCTATGGGCCATGTCGGTGACCTTGGAGCAGAACCTCAGCTGCCCGGGCAGGTACAGAGAGAAATGGACCAGGAGGCCTGAGAAGGCAGTATGGTGGTCATAACTCCAGTGTCTAGCCAGGGACCTGATAGTTCAGGCTTGCCCTGGTCCCACTGATCTGTCAATTCTAGGGGACCTCTGTGCAGAGACCCTGTAAAGGGCTGGGCCTCAGCCCCCAGCCTTTCCCCAGGCCCCACTTTGTTCTTTGGGTTCTGCTTGGGAGGAATGACATACATCCTCTGAGAAGTGAGTTCACCACCCTGGGAGTGGCTCCTGCCTTCTCCTGACCTCAGTGGGTAGCTAGAGAAGGGGCCACTGTGGTGGGGCCTCCCTTCCCCAGAGCTTCCAAAGTGATCACTAGGATCTCTCCCCTACGCACACTCTTTTGATTGCTTTTTGAATTCCTCCAACATTGGTCTATAGGAGGATAATGCAGAAAATGTGGCTTGGTTTCAATTTAGAAGTATTTTCCATTACCAGTGTGTCTGTGAAACTGTATCACATTTCACAAGATGTATCTACACATCTATATACCTATAGCTTCATTTACACAGACATGAAAAGTGAATATGCATGAACAAAATACTCATGGGCTTCAAATGGGAGGTATGTGTTTGTACATGTGTGTTCATGCATGTATACTTTCAGTTTGCACATGTGTATTATTGTGTGTGCAAATTTGTATACATCTATGCAGGAGCTCTGGTGGCGTAGTGCCTAAGGCACTTGACTGCTAACCAGAAGGCTGGTGATTCAAACCCACCAGCCACTCCTCCTCGGAAGGAAGATTAGGCAATCTACTTCTGTAGTGATACTGCCTCGGAAACCCAAGGAGGAGTCGCTATGAGTCAGGTCCGACTTGATAGCACATAACAACAACAAGAACATACTACCTATCTGTGTGCCTTCCTAGCTCAAGACACATGCACACACAAGTACATGCATGCACACCTACATTTGCATTCATGCATGTTCATGGGCAGGGCCAATATTTGAAATATTTAACAGCATTCGTACCAGTCAGAAGTAACAATTAGAGAGGCTGTGCCAGTGTGTACCCATTAAACACCCAGCCTTTTAATGTGTGAGTATGTGTGTGTTTTCTTCTATGGACCATTCTCCTTCTCCTCTCAGTGACCTGAAGCCCTTCACAACCAGACTGGCAGATTACCTGGTACTAGCCAAGGTCCGCCAGGCACTGGGCTTTGCCAAGTGTCAGAAGAACTTCTATGGAGCGGCCCCCATGACCGCAGAGACACAGCACTTCTTCCTGGGCCTCAACATCCGCTTGTACTCGGGCTATGGGCTCAGTGAGACCTCAGGCCCCCACTTCATGTCCAGCCCCTACAACTATCGGCTCTACAGGTGAGACCTGAAGCTGCAGTACACACACATGCCCACATATCCCAAGTTTCCTTGAGATAACCCTCAGGGCCCAGCCTGCTGGAAACCCTGGGACTACTTCCTCTTTCCATATTCACTGTGCCCCAGAGAACCAGCCACTGGGCTGTAGGGCCCCCTGGTGCCAACATTGCCATTTTGGCCAAGCCTCTTGCTTCTCTGAGCCTCAATTTCCTCTTCAGTCAAGCCGGGATGGGGTGGTGGTGATCCCTGCCACTGTATCACATATATGTGTGGTTAAAAGTAGCTTAACAGCCCATCACCCAGTTCCTGTGAGGGAAGAATTTCCCTTCCTCCCCTCCCTCCAGTTCAATGGAGTATGTTGGGATAGTTGATGGCTCAGGTTCCAGTTGGAGTGGGAGTGGGAGGACAGGGCCAGTCTCCTAGTAGGCAGGGAGGGCAGTCAGCCATGGGGAGTCGCTATGAGTTGAGGCCGACTTGACTTGAGGGCACATAACAACAACAATAACAACTGCTGGGCTTAGCAATACCTCCCTTCTCTGCTGGCTCATCATAGTGCTGAGGTTCCACCATTAGCATACAACTCATTCTTCCCCAAAAGCTTTTATGAACCCTACCTTTCAGCTCTAAGCCCCTATTAAAATAAAAAAGCTCCAAGAAGGGACTTGTTAAGTGATCAGGAAAGGCTGAACGGATGGACCCCCCCCCCCCCATCCAAGCCCTCACCCAAGCTTGGAGGCACTGGCTCCCTCTGATCATGCCTCCTGCCCTGCGGCCTCAGCTCCGGCAGGGTGGTGCCAGGCTGCAGGGTGAAGCTGGTGAATGAGGACGCGGAGGGCACTGGCGAAATCTGCCTGTGGGGCCGCACCATCTTCATGGGCTACCTGAACATGGAGGACAAGACGTGTGAGGCCATCGACGCCGACGGCTGGCTTCATACAGGCGACGCTGGCCGCCTGGACGCTGACGGCTTCCTCTACATCACCGGCCGCCTCAAAGGTGAGCGCGCCCTGCTGGCGAGCTTTGGGTGCTTCGAGGCTGCAGTGGGCTCGGGAGGAACAATACTCCTGCAACTAAAATCCACTGCCAAGTATTGAGCCCTTTCCAACCACGTTTCCTGACATTTTAGTAACTCTGCACTCCTGTGGGGTGGGAATTCTTATTACCCCGATTTGTAGATGACGACCCAGAGAGGCCAAGTAACTTGCCCAAGGTCACCCAACTAGTCAATAATGGAGGTGGGATTCAAATCCCCTAGAAAAACAAGGCAGGTTTTTGCGGGAGATTTAAAAATATAAATATGTATTTTTGTATGCAAACAAGGATATGATATGGAGAACACAAACTGGACATAAAATTAAAAATAAAACATGACACTTCAAAGAAATTTCCCCGCGGAGAACTTGGTTCTCCGCGAGCAGTTGGTGATTCCTCCCTGCAAAGGGTGCTTTGCTTACTTTGCCCAAGTGAGTGTAATTTCCGCAGCAATTATATGTGGGAATCCCGCACCCCATTTCACAGGGAAAATTGAAGCTCGATGAGCGGGTAAACGACTCCTTGGAAATTACACACGTAGGTGCACAACTGAACTAGGATTCGAACAAACTGCCAGGCTAGGGCTTGAAATTCACGGTGCTCGGCATCTGAGACGTGAAGGGCATTGACCCTAGCCCGTATACTCGCGAGGCTCCGGGCGAGATTTGTGATCCTAACAGCTCTCCTGTTTGTACGTGCTGCGAGCCCCGCCTAGTGCTGTCCCTTGGTAATGGCAGTTCTAGTGCCTTTGATGAGGACACCACCCACATTCCTGCACTGGAAGGGATACTTCTCTCTCCTCTCTTACCCCTACTCCCCCTAAAAATATTTCAGAGTTGGTCCTTCTTTTTAAAATAGTGTGTGTGTGTGTGAACTCACTACCATAGCGTCGATTCCAACTCATAACGACCCCCTTTGGATTTCCGGTAGGTAAATCTTTATGGAAGTAGATTGCCCAGACTTCCTTCTCCAAATGGCTGGTGGGTTTGAACCACCAGCCTCCTGGTTAGCAGTCAAATGCCTTGGGCACTACGGTGAGCGGTTTTATTGTCTTTGTTAGTTGCCCCCAGTCAGCCCTGACTCATGAGGACCTTATGTACAATGGAAGGAAACCTTGCCAGGCCTTGCTCATCTTCATGCTCTTTGATATGTTGGAGTCCACTGCTGTAGCTGTTCCATCAGTCCATCTCATTGAGGTTTCTTTTTCACTGACCCTTTCTTTACTCTACCAATCATGATGTCTTTTTCTAGTGATTTATCTTTCCTGATGTCCAGAGTAAAAGTCACTCCTGAGGGACATTCTATGGCTATATTTCTTTTAAGACTGATTTGGTCATTCTTCTGGAAGTCTAAGTACATTCAATTTGGTTCGTCAACACCACAGTTCAAATGCAACAATTTTTCTTGTCTTCCTTTTTCATGGTCCAGCTTTTGTGTGCATGAGGCAAGAGGTAAGGGTCCAGATGTATTTTCTCCATATGCATATATTACTGATCCAGTACCCCCCTCTTGAAAGACCACCCTTTCCTCATTGCCCTGCAGGGCCACCTTTGTCACAAGTCAAATGATTGTGTATATCGGGGTCTGGTTTTGGACTCTATTCTGTTTTATTTGTCTATCCTTGCACCGATACCGCAGTGTCCTATTTCCTGTAGCTTTATAATGGGATTTGATATCTGGTTGTGTAAGTCCTACAGCCTTGGTCTTTATCTTCAAGAAGGCTTTGGATATTTTTGACCATTTGCATTCCATATGAATTTGAGAACAATGGAGTCAATTTTCTTTAAAAAAAAAATTTGCAAATTTTTATTACACTGAATCTATAGATTGATTTGGTGAAAACACGTATCTTTACCATACTGACTCTTCCAATCCATAAACATGTATGTTGTTGTTATGTGCCGTCGAGTCAGACCTGACTCATAGCGACCCCTCCTTGGCTTTCCGAAGCGGTATCACTACATAAGTAGATTGCCCAACCTTCCGAGGAGTGGCTGGTGGGTTTGAACCCCCAGCCTTCTGGTTAGCAGTCAGGTGCTTTAGGCACTACGCTACCAGAGCTCCCATAAACATATATAGCCCTCCATTTATTTAGGTTTTTAATTTTTTTGATGATGTTTTATAGTATTCAGTGTGAAGATTTTTACACATCTTTCCTTAGACTTACGTATTTTATGCTTGATGCTATTGTAAATAGTGTAATTTTTTTTTTCTCTTTGTTTATTGCTGGTATATAGAATTATCATTGGGAGCTCTGATAGCATAGTGCCTAAGGCATTTGACTGCTAACCAGAAGGCTGATGGTTCAAATCCACCAGCCACTCCTCAGAAGGAAGATTGGGCAATCTACTTTTGTAGAGATACTGCCTTGGAAACCCAAGGAGGGGTCACTGTGAATCAAACTGACTCAATGGCGGTGAGTTTGGTTTGGTTTGGTTTACGGGCATAATTATGTCATCTACAAATAATGAGTTTTGTTTCTTTCTTTCAATTGCCGTAACAAATTACCACAACTAGGGCCACTTAAAATCAAACCAAACCCACTGCCATTGAGTCGATTCCAACTCATTGCGACCCCCATTGGGTTTCCAAGTTGGTAAATCTTTATGGAAGTAGATTTCCCCATCTTGATTGTGGATCCAAATAAAATGAAATCTTTGACAACTTCAGTCTTTCCTCTGTTTATCATGATGCTGCTTATTGCTCCAGTTGTGAGGGTTTGGGTTATTATTATTAGGTGTAATCCCTACAGAAGTCTATCATCTTTGATCTTCATCGGTAAATGCTTCAAGTCTTCTTCACTTTCAGAAAGCAAGGTTGTGTTATCTGCATATCGCAAGTTGTTAATCAGTCTTCCTTCAATCCTGATGCCATGTTCCTCTTCATATAGTCCAGTTTTTTTGATTATTTGTTCAGCATACCAATTGAATAATTATGGTGAAAGGATCCCTGAATCCCTGACGCACACCTTTTCTGATTTTAAACCATGAAGTATTCCTTCTGTTCCAGTAACTGCGAGGAGCACAATTAAGTATTCTAGAATTCCCATTCTTTGTAGTGCTATCCGTAATTTGTTATGATCCACATGATCAAATGCCTTTGCATAGTCAATAAAATAGATATTCTCTGCTTTCAGCCAAGATCCATCTGACATTAGCAATGATGACAATATCCCTCATTCCACATCCTCTTCTGAATCCAGCTTGAATTTCTAGCAGCTCCCTGTTGATGTACTGCTGCATTTTAAAAAGTATCTTCAGCGAAAGTTGACATATCTTTGTTAAGTAACATAACTTCAACCCATATATGGGGAACACAATTCAACCCACAATACTTTCTAATCCTTATGAATTCTTTTTTCTTGCCTTATTGCATTGGTTAGGGCTTCTAGAAGAACAGTGCTCAATAAAAGTGGTGAGAGTGGTCATCCTTGTTTTATTCCTAATCTCAGGGAGAAAGCTTTCAATATTTTAACATTGTTATGTTTGCAGTGGGTTTTAAAATATGTTCTTTATCACATTAGGTATTTTTATACCTAGTTTGCTATGAATTTTATCCAGAATGGTATACTAGTTGTAAGAGATGCTGGTAAGAATGGGAGAAGGATGACAAGAGACAAGGGCAGCAGTGAGGTAGTAATTATGAGTTCTACATGTGGGGAGTTGGATTATGACACCACATTTTCAAAGTCTGTCTTCCCTTTCCACACTGCTTCTGATGCGCTATATCAACACTGATTGCCTAGATTCTTGTCATGGTTTTCCCTCTAGGCAGTTAGTCTCCTTAACCATTCTTCACCCTAGTCACCAGAATTTGCTAAAACTTTGACCCAAAACCATTCAGTAGTTCCCACCTGCCCACAGTCCTGCTTCCCACATGGATCAGAAGTCTCTGTGATTGGCTGTCATTCCTCTCCAGCCTTTGCCTCATTCTATTACCTGCCACTAAAGGCCTTTGGGCTTCTACTCATGTTGTGCTCTCTGCACATCAAATCCCTATCCATGCTTAACATGCAGCTAGGGTGCACCCCTCTGTCCCATCCCACAGCCAGGGACTGTCTTGTTCTATTCTGTCCCTGATGTCCAGCACAGGTCCTACACATGGAATACATTCAATTCATCTTTGTTGAATTAGAATTGGGGGAACAGGAGGGCAATCTAGCTACTATCAGTCAAGGTGAATTTACTAAAATACCTACTTATTACTATATAGTAAGCCATCATTCTGGTGGTGTAGTGCCTAAGGCATTTGACTGCTAAGCAGAAGGCTGGTAGTTCAAACCTACCAGCCACTCCTCAGAAGGAAGATTAGGCGATCTACTTCCATAGAGATACCGCCTCAGAAACCCAAGAAGGGGTTGCTAGGAGTATAATCGACTCGACAGCAATGAGTTTGTTTTTTTGTAAGCCATTGTTCAGAAAACAGAAGGCCAGTACACTGAGCACCTAACACACTGGCCTTGCACACAGTAGACACTCAATGAATATCTGAATGAAAGAATGAACCTATAGATGGATGGGTGGATTGTATGAAAGCTCAGAGATGGAACTGGTCGGTGTAGACTATTAAGAGTTGGGGAAGGCTTCCTGAATGAGTCAACTGAGCTGGTCCTTGAAGAATAGACAGTCAGGACAGAGAGAAAGGAGGAGAGAGATTATTCCAGTAGAGCAAGCAAGGGGAGAGGTGCCATAGCAGAGCAAGTAAGAGCATGGGCTCTAGAACTGGACTCCTTGGATCACTTACTAGCATGTAACTTTGGGCATGTTACTTAACTCCTCTGTGCCTTAGTTTCCTCATTTGTAAAATGATAAGCATGCTGCTGCTTTTTAGGCTTATTGTGAGGATTATATTATTAACTATATATAAAGCACATAGCACATGGGACTGCTATGTAAGTGATGGGTGGTTGTCATTAAGCAAAGGCCATAGAGGAAATAAACACAGGCTATTCAGAGGGCAGGGTAGGAGGTCCACTGAGGATCTCGGTCTGGCAGAAGGGAGCTGCGGATGTCCAAACAGGCAGTCTCACATGATGAGCAGAGGAGTAGAACCTCAAGGTGATCATTTGCCCTCTGGGAACCACCATTATCCCCCACCAGGTATGAGGTGCTCTTTATGGCCTGATACTGCTTCTTGGCTCCCAGCGAGGGGACATCTCTGGGCTTCCCTAGGTCCCAAAGCCTGAGTCTTCAACAGTTCTTCCTCCTGCTCTAGCCTCCCGACTGTGGCTGTAGGTTGGTCTTGATTGAGCCAGGACACCTGAACTAAAGCCTGTGCTGAGGCCGTAGCCTTTTCTCCCCAGAATTAATCATCACAACTGGTGGGGAGAACGTGCCCCCTGTGCCCATAGAGGAGGCTGTGAAGATGGAGCTACCCATCATCAGCAACGCCATGTTAATCGGTGACCAGAAGAAGTTCCTGTCCATGCTGCTAACCTTGAAGGTGTGTCTGGGGGCTCTGGCCCAGAAGGAGCAGCTGGTGGGTGGTCCCTGGGTCTGGCCCAGGCAGAAGCCACATTCAGTCCAGGCCACATCTGGATCCCCTGGTTCCAGTATGGAACAACTACAAATAGTCAGTGCTGCCTGCACTAAGGGAGAGCCATCTCACTGCCATCAAGTCAGATCCGACTCATAGCAACCCCTCCTTGGGTTTCTGAGGCGGTATCTCTAAAGAAGTAGATTGCCAACCTTCCTTCCGAGGAGCAGCTGATGGATTTGAACCGCCAGCCTTCTGGTTAGCAGTCATGCCTTAGGCACTACACCACCAGAGCTATTTGTTGTTGTTGTTGTAGCATCTGCAAATTCCTTCTGTTCCCAGTGGTACAGTTAATATACTGCTGTGGTGATCCTTTACATGTGACTAGTACATTCCCATTTACAAAGTGCTGCTGCCTTCATGCCCCTCAGAAGATAGTCTCCCAGGACAGTAGACAAAGCAAGAGTTACTGTCCTTGTTTGACAAATGATGACTTCACCAGCTGAAGCCTTCTAATTATCTAACTTTTCCTCCTTCCACCACACCATGGGGCTTAACAGTTAGGATAGCATCCTACTCATACTAGAACCATCTCTTTGAAATAGAGCTCACAGCCATTTGTATCCTTGGCATCAGCAGTAAGACTTCCTTGAAGAACAGGGCTTAATTAGGTCTTTGGATTTAGGCTTGGTCCTGACTGATCTCTGGCTTTCCAGTGCACTCTAGACCCAGACACCTCTGATCCAACTGATAATCTGACCGAACAAGCTATGGAGTTCTGCCAGAGGGTGGGCAGCAAAGCCACCACAGTATCTGAGATCGTGGGGAAAAAAGACGAGGCGGTGTATCAGGCCATTGAAGAGGGGATCCAGAGGGTCAACCAGAATGCAGCAGCCCGACCCTACCACATCCAGAAGTGGGCCATTCTCAAAAGAGACTTCTCCATTTCAGGTGGAGAGTTCGGTAGGTATTTTCTTTTCACTATATTAAGGGCTAGGAGTGTCTGGGAGGTGCCCATTAAATGAGGCAGCCACAGCAAGCAGAAAGTCATTGTGAGCATTTTTGGTAACACCCACTTCCTTCCTGTGGGAGGATATTGATTGATCTGTGTAAGAGCTTGATTGCACAGAGCCTATTCAATATACGAGATCTGTGCTGGAACGTATTAATTAGGACTATAACATTTAACCTTGCCTTGACCAAGGGACCATTTTCCCATGAAATCACAATGGGAACATCAAGGCCCTGTTACTATTTGGGCTGGAGTCACGTGGCTCTGGGGATGAAACAACTGTGGCCTTCTGTAGAGTCAGTTTATGTGACAGGTAAGGAAGATGAAGCCACTTGTGGACTATGATACACAGAACTAGAACTGGACTTTAGAGGCCTCTGGTGTAGCCTCAGCTGGAAGGATGAGGTCCTTCTTGGCTGAAGCATCTTGGAGTGTTTGTTCCTGACACAGGAGAGGTAGAAATGCTATCTTCAGTGAGATTCCCTCAGGCCCATCAAGGCCAAGCCCCAATGCAACTCTCCACAACAATGCTGAAATGCAGTTCTTGACCATATCCGGTTGGCTGGTGCTAATGAACTGAATGCAAGGGAAGATGTCCTAATATTTTATATAAACGACTTTGATTTTTTACATCTCCAGTTACACAGCCAGCTATGAGGCACAAAAGCTACCCAGGACCTCAAATCAGAGCCCTTTTAACCTTGCCTTAAAGTGGGGAACCATTGCCAAGAAAAGCAATTAGGGGTTGGTGAGTAGCGACCGGAGTCTTAAAAGTTTGCAAGAAGCCATTTAGATGCAACAATGGGTCTCTCCTCTTCCAGAGCAAAGAAGAATGAAGAAAACCAAAGATGCATGGAAACAATTAGTCCAAGGACTAGTGGGCCATGCAAACTTCAGCCTATATGACCATGAGAGCAGAACTAGATGGTGCTTGGCTACCACTGTCAACTAGTAGGAATGGGATCAGTGCAGGAGATTCTGGGGAGTGGGAGAACAATGTGGAACTAAACTCAAAATTATAAAAAAAAAAAAAAAAAAAGACCACGTTTATTAGTCTGATAGAGCCTGGTGAGACACCCTCCAAGACCACAGCCCCTAGTTACCTTCAGATCTGGAAGTGAACTCGTTCCTATGGCTTCCAGTCAAGTAATAGGCCTATAGGGTGAACATTTACATCAGGTAGATACACTCCTTAGAACAATCAATCATGGGAGAACAGAGGACAAGTATTTGCACAGGAAGATAGCTCAGGGCAGGAATACACGGAAAAGAAGGACATAGGGAAAAGGTAACTACAGGGAGGATGTGGGAAGAGAGCTGTTATATTGTGGGGAATTGCAGTCAATATCATGAAACAAAATATATAAACTGCTGTATGGAAAATGAATTTGCTCTGTAAACTTTCACCCAAATCACAATACAAATTTAAAAAAAAAAAGCGATTAGGGGAAGACCACCGCAGGGCCCTCCCTCACCAGGGCTTATCCTCTGTCCCATCATATAATCATCAATTGAAGCATAGTATCTGACATCCACATAAACTTTCACTGAGATTCAGAAATGCCTTATGTATTGGTTATCTATTGCTGTGTAACAAATTACCTTTCAAAGCCTAGTAGCTTAAAACATTTTTCATCTGTGTTTGAGGGTCACAAACCCATGAGCAGCTTACCTGGGTGGTTCTGGCTGAGGGTCTCTCGTGAGGTTAGTCAAGATGTCATCTGGGGCTAGAGTATCTGCTTCTAAGCTCACACATGGTTGTTGGCAGGCCTCTGGTCCTTGCTGGCTACAGGCTGGAGACCTCAGTTCTTTGCCAGTGGATTTCTCCATAGGCTGCCAGTGTGTCCTAACAATATGGCAGCTGGCTTGCCCTAAGAATAATCAGAGAAGAGCCCAAGGCAGAAACTGCAGTCTTTTATAACCTATTCTCATAAGTGACGTTTCATCACTTCCTCCATCCTCTACTCACATAGACCATCCCTGGCATGATGTGGCAGAGGACTACACAGGGTATGGATATCAGAAGCAGTGGTCACTGGGTGTCTTAGAGGATGGCTACCAGTTTGTCTAGCTCAATTCCAGGATTATAGGATTCACTTGGTCTGGAACTTACCACTCAGATTTCTCAGAGCCCAAGCCTTACTCTTTTACTTCTTTTCTTTTCCTTTCTCTTTTAGGTCCCACTATGAAACTAAAGAGGCTCATAGTTCTGGAGAAGTACAAAGATATAATTGATTCCTTTTACCAAGAACAAAACAAATAATCAGGGGCTGTCCTTCTAGTGTCTGTTAAATGGCAGGCCTTTTGGAGCACTTTTCGGACTCTGGGTCCTCTTCACTACGGGCACATGAACTTCTGGCACATGTTAGGTTTCCAGGTGAGGGAGGGTATGTCTTTGGCATTTCCACTTACCTGGTCTTATGCCAGTAACAGCTAAAAATTCCGGAAAGCTTCATGTGTGAGTACTTATAGTTTTAATTGTTTAAGTACTGCTTTTTGTTCAGGTGACAAATGAAAATCAGCCCTCCTCCAGAATCGAATGGCTCATCATTTTTGACTTTAGGTAGATTTAACAATTGGCCAGCTCGCATAACAGGCACGCTGGAGCAGGCTGTGTGTGTGAGAAAAAGGAGGTTGTATTTCAGTGTACACTGCAAGGAGAGTGGAGAGTCGTATCTCACCTAATGGCCTGACTTATAGCCTGACTTACCTGGAATCCTACTGGATACTGCAAACCCTATCATTCCATTACCAGACACTCCTCAGCCATGCACTTGTCAACTGACTTGATGCTTAATAAAACTGCTGCTGTCTATCTGATTGAATTTAATGTGTGATTTGAATATTAAACCTTTCAACAGAACTGTCAACAAGTACCTGAACTGTTTGTCATTTGAGTAGGTAGGATCTGTGTAGAACAGCGGGTTGAACAGAACCAGGACTATGTGCAACAAGAACAGGAGTGACCTCTAGTGCCCCAGAATAAGTAAAGGTGCAGGCAGGGGCTCAGTGACGCATCCTAGTAAAAGCAGCCACCCTCCCACACTGAAAACCTTAAGCAGTCCATTCTTAGTAGCAAGCTGAACCAACATGACCTAAGGCACCTGAACAGGTAACAAGTAGAGAAAGCATACACCTCCATCCATTTTGGAATTCTTTATTAGTACGAACCCAAGAGCCACTGATAATTAGCATAGCCCTGTAAAAAAGAAGCAGCAGCTTAAAGTAAAATACACAGAAGATTATAAAACTGGTTACAAGCCTAAAAAAGGACCGAGAGAGAGAGAGAGAGAGAATTTTTTGTTACGAAATCTCTTTGTAACCTGGGTACACAATGTAAAGCCACAGGTTTGCAATGTTACACAAAGGCCAATGGAGGAAATGAGCTGCCTTTGGTGTGTGGCCAAAGGACAACTCTGCAAAAATAATGACTTCTTGTCTGAAGTTTAACAAAAATCATGCTAAGGAACTTGCCACGGGCAGGGAGGAAGATGCCTGAAGGTCAAAAGCTGAGGCCAAGCCCCCATATGGCACAGTTTTGTGAATCAACTCAGGCTGAGTCTGTGCCAGTCTCTATAATCACGTCTCTTACTGGTGGTGTTGAGACAGATCAGTGATTTGGTGCTTTGGGGAAGGTGAAGGGTCAGCTGCTGAAATACAAAATTAACAGCCAGCATCCCAAGTTCCTTAATGGCAGCCGAGCTCTATGTGCTCAGGCCCCTGAGCAGTATTACCTCCAGCAGTATCACCTGGAGTGGGGCTGTTTGCAGACAGTTACATGTACACCTCGTAAGAGTAAAGGTACACTAGAGGTCAGCTCCATGGCTCAAGTCAGTACTGTGGCTCAAAGTCTGTATTACTTTGGATGCTCAATACATGTCCACTTAAAAGGAAGTACTATCCCTTTGCTTCATTAGAAGCTCTTGCGAAGAGTATGAAATCTCAAGATAACAAAATAATTGAACACACAATGCGTATGTGTGTTTGTACTATATATTACCAAATTTTATTAACAAAAATTACATCTCTCATTATATATTTCTTGGATCTGAAGTCTTTATTCATATGCAGTAATTCATGTAAAGGATAAATCTTTCTTTTCATATCCCTAAGAAATATACCGTATTTATTGTTTCTGAGGTGGACTTTCCCAAGAAATTTCTCTTGTACCCGTTTAGTTTTATAAGAATATCATCTTGTGCTAAAATGTCAGTATCCTGTTTTATTTTCAGCACATTTTTCATAAAACAAAAAACAAAGAGCTTTTCTTTAAAAAGTTAACTGTTTTCTCTTATTCATTCTGTATTATATTTACAGCTGAGAAAATTAAAACTGTTTTAACTGAAGTGTAAAATGGTTAACAATGGCAAATGATACAATCCCCTTAGAGTTTACAAAAAAATGTTTACCAGATAGACACTTAATAAATAAACCAGCACTTGGAAAGAGTCCTTTGAAAACAGGCCCAGGGGTATCACCTGCATCTTTTGCACAGATTTTGTTAAGAAGAGGCCAGATCCAAAAAGGTACTCTCAAGAAACAAGCAAACCAAATGCATACATACGATAGGTTTTCTCAATATAGATTTAAGTGGTGTCCATTAGGAGTGACTGCTGGAAATACCATTGATAGCAGCGTTAATCTAAATCTTTTACTCGGCGACAGATTTCATCTGTGAAGTCTGAGCACTTTGCATTGCCTCCTAGGTCTTTTGTCAAGCTCTGAGAAAAGGAAAATGCAAAAATCAAAATGTACACATGCACTAAACCAAGCCAAGGATATTTTCACTTAAAGCCCTCAGTGGAACACCAGCTGAGCAAGTTACTTAGTTACTCTCTCTCATTTCTTTCTTCATTTCAAAGTGAAGCCCCACCTTACCACCATTATCTACCCAAGAGAGATTGGGAAAACCCAATCAGATAGTATACAAGAAAACATCCTGAAAAGAATAGGGTGCTGTCACTACAAAGGGAAGCAGGGAGGCTTTCACAAAATTTTCCCTTTGGACATTCAAGAGACCTTAAGAAACCATCTGTTGATTAAAAAAATTCACTGCCATTGAGTTGATTCTGACTCATAGTAACCCCTCCTTGGCTTCTGAGGCGGTATCTCTACAGAAATAGATTGCCCAGTCTTCCTTCTGAGGAGTGGCTGGATGGTGGGTTTGAACTGCCAGCCTTCAGGTTAGCAGTCAAATGCCTTAGGCACTATGCCACCAGAGTTCCTCATCTGTTGATTATGGACATTTAAATAAAAGCAGTTCTAAACAAAAAGTTTCATAAAGTCCTCGGGGAATTTTTAAAACTTAGGATATATTTTGATTCATCTTTGGAGTCTGGGAAACAAATACCAGGAAATACTTAAATCACTAAATCTTTAGGAAAAAGACTCTTGCAGAAGGCCAATCTGTTTTCTACCAGCTTATCCTCTCTTTACCCCTAAAGAGATTCTTTTCTGCCACTGCATCCTACACAATTAAAAAGACCTACTGTGTAATTTAGGAGCTCTAGTGGCATAGTGCCTAAGGCATTTGACTGATAACCAGAAGTCTGGCAGTTCAAATCCACCAGCCAATCCTCGGAAGGTTGGGCAATTGACTTCCGTAGTGATACCACCTCAGAAACCCAAGGGGGGGTCGCTATTTAGGAGCTGTGATGGCACCATGGTTAAGGCATTTGGTTGCTAACCAAATGGTAGGCAGTTAGAACCCACTAGCCACCCCATGAGAGAAAAACGAGGCAGTTTCCATTCACAAAGATTTACAGCCTTGGAAACCCATGGGACAGTTCTACTCTGTCCTATGGGGTTGCTATGAATCAGAATTGACTCGATAGCAGTGGGTTGGGTTGGATTTGGTTTTAGGTTTACAGTATAATTTAGGTATCTCTCTTCTAGGTTCTATAGTACAGCATCCTAAATATGGGGATAAAAAAACAAATAAGCTTGGATTTCTTGTATTTGGCCGTAAGAAGTAATTTCAAATTAAAGAACTTTTTTTTAAAAAAGAAGGGATGTCAGACTAAGGATCAGCCTTCCTTAAAGGCCCAGCCTTAGGAAGCCATGACCTCTTCTATCTCCTCTCTCTTCCAGAACAATCCACTGTACCCTCTTCCATGGTCACAGCTGCTTATGGAGGGAAAGCTTGTTGGGCTAAAGTCAGACTGGATGCAAACCCCAACTTTGCTATTCAGGAGCTGTGAGCCCTTGCATAAATTACTTAACCATACTGCACCTCAGTTTCCTCATCTATAAAATAGGCTTATTTATAGTATCTACTTCAGAGTAGTACAGAAGATTGGCTGAGACAATATACACAAATAACTTAGAATCATGTAAGTATACAATTTACATTGGCCATTATTATTATTACTTTAGGAGCTCTGGTGGCATAATGGTTAAAGCAGTTGGCTGCTAACCAGAAAGTCAGTGGTTCAAACCCACTGGCTGCTCCATGGGGGAAAGATGAGGCAGTGTGCTTCCAAAAATATTTACAGCCTTGGAAACCCTATGGGGCAGTTCTTTGTCCTTTAAGGTCTCTATGACTTGGAATCAACTCTGTGGCAGTGGGTTTGGTTTTTTATTATTATTACTTTAATAAAAGTTTCAGCTAACATAACGTATAATATCATTGTATTATACACATAGCATCTGTATCTACTGTTAAGATTCTGAGCTCCTGATCTTTACAAGTGGCAACCATTTTGGATTTTAAAGTGATAGCATTCTCATTCGGACTCCAGGGACCTAAGAACAGGCTCTGTTTGCCAAGGTTGGCAGGGACATACGAGAGGCTAACAGGAAAGGAGACAGGTGGTGAGTGTATAAGTGCTATCCACTGGCAAATAGAGGAGCACAGCACCCTGTTTGCACAGATAACATACAAACAAAGAAAACGAAAATCGTGGGCAAGTCACTCCACATACAATCACCAATTACATATAAACACAAAAACATCACAATGCCTCAGAGACAACAGAGTATCAGTCCACACAAAGAAGCAAGATAAAGCAGAAGAAACAAGGGACCAGGATACAGACCCAAAATACATCCCTGAGGAAGATGCAGCATTGGAACTCCCTGATAAGGAATTCAAAAGAATTGTATTTAGGTATCTAAAATGAATTGAGAGACAGATCAGAGAAAACCCTAGAACAATTTCAAAAGATAATACAAGAACAAAATGACAAAATAAATGAAAAATTAGAAATGATACAAAATCTACACACAGAAATCCAGAAGATGAATACTAAATTTCCAGAAATA